ATAATATGGATGCTTATGGCGATGATTTGAAATTGCTCAAACCATTAGACATAACCCTAAGGTTCGAGTAAAAGTAACATCGAGCCATAATATGGATGATTATGGCGAAGATTTGAAATTGCTCGAACTATTAGATATGAACCTAAGGTTCGAGTAAAAGTAACATCGAGCCGTAATATGGATGATTATGGTGATGATTTGAAATTGCTCGAACCATTAGACATGACCCTAAGGTTCGAGTAAAAGTAACATCGAGCCATAATATGGATGATTATGGCGATAATTTTAAGCTATCAACTCGGCCTATTCGTAAATGGTAGTTTTTTGAAAGGAATGGAATATATCATTCTAGAATAAGTAATCAAATTACATCCAAAAAAGAACAAAAAAAGTTCTGAATTCTAAAATGTCGACATTGCTTGATTCCTTTCTTCTTGACTACCTTGTGCGGACATTTTCAGAAGTGAAATTTTCGAAGGTTATGCATGTTCCACGTCCTTGGTAGTCGGATCCCATCTAATGTATCTAGAACGTATGGTCTACTTCGTCGTACCTCGATTATCCGATATGGACCTTCCCAGTTTGGACCAAGTTTTCCCATGGGCTATTGCCTGCTAACTTCATTTTTGCGCAGAACCAAATCACCCACTGCACGTGATGACGTTTTTACCCGGGTATTGTAGTATCGTTCTACTAATGCTTTGTAATTGGCTTGCCGTATTGCAGCGTCTTCTCTTTTTTCCTCTAGCAGATCTAAATTTGTTTGGAGTTTCGCGGTGTTCGACCGTATTTCTGGATTACTAGCTCGGGTAGTTCGATTCGTGATTTCTATAGGAATGACTGATTTTGTTCCATAAACCAATCAAAAAGGATTTTCTTTGGTTGATGTTCGTACAATGGTTCGATATGCCCATAGCACATGCTGCAGTTCATCGGCCGAATTTCCTTTGGCTTTTCTCAACCTCTTCTTAATTCCCTTCACCAGAGTTCGGTTTGTTCCCAACCTCTTCTTAATTCCCCTTCACCAAAGTTCGATTCCCCATTGAAGGAACAACCATGGGCTTGTGATGCTAACCATATCCTGTGGCGGTAGTGCTGGCACATTTCCATGTATCTGACAATCGTGACATTTCTTGATGAATGCTTCCGTGTCGCGGGTCATGGAAGGCCATAAGTATCCTGCCCGAAGGATCCTCTGGGTGGTTGCTCGTGATCCTCCATGCGCTCCACAGACCCCAGAGTGTATCAATTGTATTACTGCCTCCGCTTCTTTGTTCGTTACACATTTCAACCGTGGGGTGGAATGACCCCTCCTGTATAGTTGGCCCCCATACATAGTATAGTTCGGTGTGTTAATTTGCACCTTTCTTGCCTCTTTCGCGTCCTCCGGCAGCATTCATTTTTTCAAAAAAAGGACGTAAGGTGTCATCAATGCTTTTTCTTGGCAATACCTCCACTAAGAACGTTTTCGACAGCTGGTTGAAGGCTATTGAGGCGAGTTTGCTTAAAGCGTCTGCTTCTTAGTTCTTGGATCGTGGAATTTGTGTGATTTCAAATGTTTTAAACTTGGGGATCCACATCTGCGTCAGGATCAAGTATTTTTGGATGTGTGTTTTCTTTCGCTTCGTAGGTTCCTTTAATTTGGTTAACCACCAACATCGAGTCGTTGAATACTTCAAGATGCGTGACATTCATGCTTATTGCCAACTGTAACCCTACCATTAAGGATTCATACTCCACCTCATTGTACGAGTATTTGAACTTGAATCGTAGGGAATATGTTGATTTGTCTCCCTGCGGGCTAGCGAGGACAATGCCTGCTCCTGATCCGTCTTTGCTTGATACCTCGTCAACGTGTAACACCCACGTTTCCTTGACTATGATTCCTGACGTTTCCTGAGGTTCACCAGTACCCTTAGGAGTGGTCATCATTGATGACTGTGAGTCGTACGATATTTCCGTCAAAAAATCAGCTAGAGCTTGCCCCTTTATGCTGATTCGGGGTTTGTATGTGATGTCGTGCTCTCCTAGCTCTATCGCCCATTTCGTCATTCTTCCTGAACGTTTTGGCTGCAATAGGATCTGCTTCATTGGTTGATCGGTTAACACTTCGATGGGGTGTGCCTGGAAATATCTACGTAATCGTCTAGCTGCATATATAAGGAACAAGACCAACTTTTCCATTTTGGAGTAATTTCGTTCCGCTCCTTGCAACACTCTACTCACGAAATACACCGGTACTTGCTTCGTTCCTCTTCTCGCGACTAACGCTGCACTATCCGCCTCATGACTTGTTGATAGGTACATCGTTAGCACTTCCCCTTTTAAAGGACTCGCCAAGGTCAGCAGTTGCTTGAGGGACTGTTTCAACTTTCGGAGTGCTTCTTCTGCCTCATCTGACCGTAGTATGTCTTTCCTTCCTGTAAATGTTTTCAGTGTTTGAAAGAATGGTATCGTCTGGTCCGCTGACTTAGCTAGGAATTGTCCCACGGCTGCCAACTTTCCATTAAGGCTTGGTACCTCCTTCATTGTTCGTGGTGTCATCATTTTCAACAAGCTTTCGACCTTCTAGGGGTTCGCCTCTATCCCGGTTTCTATTACTATATGTCCCCAGAACATCCCATTTTGTACTCCAAAAATGCATTTCTTTGGATTGAGTTTCATGTTGGTTTGTCATAGCCTTCTGAGGGTTTCTTCCACAACTGCTAAAAAATCGTTGTCCCCCTTACTCTTGATTACCATGTCATCTATATACACCTCGATGTTTGTTCCTACTTGCTTTGTGAATACTTTATCTACCAACCTCTGGTAAGTTTCCCCATCATTCCTCAAACCGAAAGGCATCTTCGTATAGCATAAGATTCCCTTCTCAGTATGAAAAGTTGTTTTATCTTCATCAGTGGTGGCCATCTTTACTTGGTGATACCCTTTGTACGCATCCAAAAAGATTTCCGCCGATATCCCCCAATGACTCGCTCTTCTGCTCGATCTCTGGGAGGGAGTAATTGTCTTTTGGGCAAGCCTTATTGAGGTCGGTGAAATCAATACATATCCTCATCGTTCCGTCCATTTTCTTCACCAGCACTAGATTGGCGATCCATTTTGGGAATTGCATAGCCATCATAACCCTGACTCTTACTAATGTTTAGACTTCCTTGTTGACGATTTCGTTTCTTTCTTTGGCCATGTTACGCTTTTTTTGGCTTTACCGGCATGCATGAGGGATCGATATTCAGATAGTGCTCTATTACCGATCTTGGGATGCCTGTCATATCTGCGGGTATCCACGCGAATGTATCTTGGTATTTTCTTAACATCGCCATTAATCCTTCCCGCAACATCCTAGGGAGATTGACCCCTATTTTGACTGTCTGATCCTTGTGGCCTCTATTTACAATTACCTATTCGGTGTCTACTGAGGAAACTCCCTCCTCTTCCATGGGCTCAGCTTGCTCCAGTTTCACAACGTGACTACGCTCAGGAGGACCTGGGTGGTGCTTTGAACTATCACCAACCCTTCTTCGGTGAGGAATTTAAGTAGACCGTGTACAGTGGATGAAACGGATTGAAGTTTCAACAGACTAGTTCTTCCCGACAGTATGTTATAAGGAGAAGGTGCTTGTACCACTAAAAATTCTGTTAGTATGGTTTTCCAAATGTTACCTCGGTAGTCTTCCAATTTGAAAGGTAGCAAGATCTTCTCTCTAGGCCATATTGACTGGCCCGCGAATCCCACCACTGCAGCCGTGGCAGGCTTGAGGTATCTTTGGATATCCGGAGGTAGACCCTTCAAGCAATGTTCGTACATTACATTGACTGCACTTCCATTATCCACGTAGACCCTTCTAATCAACGTTATTCTTATTGCCACTTTAATTATAAGATGCTACGTTCCGTTATGATCAAAAGGTATTGGATCATGAAGACTGAACTTAATGTTGGTTATTTTCCGCTTCCGTGTCAACTTGTCTCCAGAATCCTCCTCGCCTTGCACCATGGCAATTTCAGCGTCATACTTTGGTGTATTGTCTCTCTTCGTCGATCCGTCATCAACTTTCGACGATCACTTTTTCACTTTTTCTCTTCTTAGACTCTCACAATCCTTCGTTGCATGACCCAAATTTTTGTGAAAATCGCAGTACCTGTGTCGGGTCTCGAGGATACTTTCTGTTTTTCTTCGAGTTGTGCCTACTCAGGCTTCGTGGAGTATAGGCTTCGTATGCTTCTTGTTGATATGGCTGGTAATGATCATTCCGCCTTCTCCTCTTGTTTTGGTATGGACTTCTCTTGTAATTCGCTCTTCCTTCTTTGCTTTTCCTGCCCTGGCCTTTCCTTCTATTCTTTCTTTTTCGACGCTTTCAGCCTCCTGTCTCAGGAACTGGTTGACTTTTCATATCATTTCTTCTGCAATAACCCACTCTCGTCTTAACAGCTTTCGAAATAACTCCCCTTCTAGAAGCCCATAGGTGAACGCCGCTATGATCATAGGGTCGTCTCGGGTTGGCATCTTTCAACTAATCTCATTAAATCTTTTAAAATATGCTTTATTCGATTCTCCCTCATGTTGTCGACAGGAAAATATTGTGTGTGCATGTTGTTGGAACCTTCGTTGCTGTATGAAGCTGTTATAGAACTTTTGACATAACTCTTCGAAGCTCCCTATACTTCGGGGTGGTAGGCTAGCGAGCTAGTATCGGGCATACCCATCCAAGGTTCATGTGAAGTCTATGCTCCATAATTTTGGGTCCATCAGTATAATCTTTATCGCCCATTGGAAATTGGATACATGATCGTCTGGGACTCCGGTACCATCGTAAGGCGGCACCCTTGGCCCTGTCAATCCTTTGGGGATGGGTGTTTCGTTAATGTGATCCGTAAAAGGAGAGCGAAAGTTCAGACTCTTGAATGCTTAGTAGTATTGTTTGGCCTCTATTACTCTGGCTAGCTTCTCTCGTTTTCTATAAGCGTTTTCTGCGTTGGGTAATCGATCTACATCCTTCTCATTCTCGCTTGATCTTTTTTGGCAAAGGTCTGACTCCTTTTTCTTCTTCACTGGAATCTTCCATTTGGTCTGTGTGGACCGAAACTCGATCCCATTCCTTTTCCTTCTGGAGTCTTTTATCACTTTGTAACTTTCTCAATGCTTCGAATTCGTCTAACTCCACTTCTTCTGTCGTTTTACCTTGTAAGTCCGTTCTTTCGTCGCTGACAAACTTTCTGGTGACTGTGTTTTGATGTCTTACTACAGTAGCAACCTGTGGTGTTGCTTCTGGGCCTTCTAGGTTTTGCATTCTCGCGACGGGACTTGCTTCGTCGGCTTGTGTGCTTGTGTCGGCTGTTTGTTGCAGGGTCCCACGGATGACGCCACTTGATGTTCCATCAGGTCCGTCTTCCATATTTTACTTCCTGATTCGATTCCACAGGGAATAAGATTGACCTAAAGACTACAAACAAACCGGAAGCAACCACCCGGGAGGTGATCCCGGACGATTCTCCGACGGTTAAGTTAGCGAAAGGTTATACATTCGATGGATTATACACGAGAGTTGGAAGTAGATTCTGTGTACTTACCTTCCTGTGGTGTCGAGACATCTATTTATAAGGATATAGGAAGTGGCAAGTTGTTTCGGATCGACCCTAACATGCCATCTTATCGCATTTATGGTGTAATGTCCGAAGGTACGATCATTGGTACTATACATACCGCTATACAACTGTCTTGTGGCTGTACCAGGATCTATTGACCACGTATCCTCGTACATGCTATATCCTCATAGTTTCGAGATACTGCCATTACTGTTTAGACGTCATATTGTACCTTCCCTCTGTTCCTACTTCTCCTCAAAAGTCGTTATGCCAGTTCGACATTTTAGTGGCTCGGGTATCTTTGAACATGCCAGTTCGGGATATCCAGGAAAGGGTAGAGGTATTTCCGGATCATACCTCATTAGATACCAACTTGTAATGTCCTATTTTTAACAATAAAATTTTCAATTTTTAAATTAGATTAAAAGCCATTTTCATAAACCAAACATCAATAATACCATTTGTTCCATAGTTCAAATATAAAAATTCAAAGTATCATAAAACAACGCAGAATCTCAAATATGAAAGTTGCTGATGATTGTGTACAGTCACACCTTCGCATTCCCACGATCATTTGAAGTACCTAAAACATTTAATCCACAACTAGAAGCCAAAGCTTAGTGAGTTCCCAAAATATCACATACAACACATATCTACTAAGATCAAAAACAGCGGTGAGGACTCATAGTCTACCGCGTTGTGGTCTACACACCACCGCACCATGGTTATGCTCCAAAACAACATAGTGGATTAAGCTCTTAACCATTAATTTCTAACGCCCAAAATATCAGATCAACTTCCTATAATGATCTTAATGGATAAAGTTTCCAACTTTATCCATTCTCATGGAATAAACTCACCCAAACACTAAACCCTAACTCTAAATTAAACCAAAACACATGCATCATGTTGAAATTAGACAATACAGATTACCCAACATCTTCATTTCTTATATCATTTAAGGATTAAGAAACAGAAGGTTTTCAGAAACTTACAAACGAAACCTCACTACAAAGAATCTACTCTACTCTCTTGATTTATCACTCAACCCTAATCTAAACAGTCGACACAAATCTATTCATCTAACCACAAGAGAATAACAACTCATCAACATAACAGATGAACAAAACAAGATCAGAAAGAAACGAGAGTACTAGATGAAAACCCTAAACAAGAAACCCTATCTCTGGATCTGGAAGTGATAACAACTGATGAACAACACTCTTCCTTAGCATATATACTACAAATACTCGGATATGGAGAAAACCCGTAAAAAGAACCGATCCATCTGATCCATCTTCTGACCCATGTGCTTTCTCTGCAATTTCACTTAACACCCAACAAAATATATCTTGACCAACTTCCACCCCTTATTATCAAGACTTAACATTTTAAGTTAATAAATATGAGATTGATCCTTTATTACGTTCAACATCCCCCCTCAATCGAAATATTTATTTTTCCTTCTTAAACACATCAACAAGACCCATTTTCTTAGATAAAAAATTATGTTGATTTACATTTAAAGACTTAGTAAGAATATCTGCATTTTGATCAGAAGAACTGATCTTAACCAATTTTAAAATTCCATTAGAAAATTTTTCCCTAACAAAATGCAAATCAATCTTAAAGTGCTTTGTTCTTTCATGAAACACATGATTAAGAGCTAACTTTATCATTGAATCATTATCACAAAACACAGAAAGTGGAATAAGATCTTTAACCTCCAATTCAAACAAAATTTTTAAAACCCAAATTATTTCACAAGTAACTGAGCTAAGAGCTGTATATTCAGCTTCAGTAGAAGATCTAGAAATAGTAGACTGTTTCTTACTCTTCCATGATATTAGACAATTATTCAAATAAACCATGTAACCTGATACAAACTTTCTTGTAGTTAAACATTTAGCCCAGTCTGCATCCACAAAACCTTTTAGTTCAAACTTATCAGATTTATTTATTGTTACACCTCTTCCAGGACTACACTTTAGATACCTTAGCAATCTGAAAGCAATTTTCAAATGAGACTTCCTAGGTTTGTGCATAAACTGACTAAGAACCTGAACTGCATAGGAAATATCAGGCCTAGTAATAGTAAGATATATAAGCTTACCAATAAGTTTTTGAAATTCAGTTTTATTGTTTAATAAATCATTACCTTTCTCATTCTCACCGGTACACATTATAAAATTTGTTTCTAAAGGTGGATTAACAGGTTTGCACCCTAGCATACCATACTCATGTAGCAACTCTAAACAATACTTCCTCTGATTCAAGCACAAACCATTATCAAAATTTACCACCCTCTATTCCAAGAAAGTACTTAAGAATACCAAGATCCTTAATTAAAAATTGAGTTTTCATAAAATCCTTAACCTTTTTCAATTCAGTCTCACAATTACCAGTTAATATAATGTCATCCACATATACTAGTAAGACAGTTATTGAATTTTTCAAATTTCCTAACAAATAAAGAATAATCACTTATACTTTGTTTAAATCCAAACAAGAACAAGGATGCACAAAGTTTTTCATTCCATTTCCTAGGAGCTTGCTTCAAACCATATAATGACTTGGTAAGTTTACAAACCCTAGAATCATTCGCAAAATAATACCCCAAGAGGAAGACACATATAAACATCTTCTGAGAGATCACCATACAGAAAAACAATATTTTTATCTAATTGATATAAAGGCCAAGAATTATGCACAGATAATGAAATTACAATACGCACAGTAACAATCTTTGCAACAGGAGAAAAAGTTTCCTCAAAATCCCCTCTCGTTGATTATGACCTTTAGCAAGTAATCTAGCTTTATATCTTTCTACTTCCCCATTTGATTTTGAAAACCCATTTACAGCCAATTGGTTTTCTATTTTTAGGTAATTCAGTTATTTCCCAAGTATGATTACGATGAAGAGCTTCCATTTCTTCATTCATTACCTTAATCCAATTTGGATCAGACAAGGCTTCATTGTAATCTTTGGGTTCAATAGATTTATTCAAATTGGAAATAAAACATTTTGTCTCAATATCAAGCAAAGAATAGTTAACTGATCTTGCTATACCATATTTATATTTTCCTTCAACAACATAATCAGCATATCTAACTGGCATATGTGACTCACGTCTAGAACTTGAAGCACCTAAAGACTGCTCTACAGAGGGGATTAATAAAGAATGACTACTTTCCTCAGACACAACTAAAGAAGAAGGAACAGAATCAGTAGTGGGAGGCACCACTGCCTCGCCACTACAATTGACATACCCACTAAGGTTTACATCATCCATGTCAATGGCTGCATCAGTACCATCCAACTGAGATTCTACTCTCAGCTCATCAGGGTTAATTGAATCATTTAAATACTCATTAGTGTCAAAAACATCATAGGAAAATGGATCACTAGGGCCAAAATTATTAGTAGTCTTATCAACCATAGTTGATTTTAACTTGTAAGGAAACACAGACTCATAAAATTCCATATCCCTGGATACAAAAGAAGTGTTAGTATCCAGACTCAAAAGTTTATAAGCCTTTTTATCAGAAGAATATCCTAATAAAACACATTTCTCAGCACGTTCTGAAAACTTGTCAGTAATATTTTGTTTTAACAGCAAAACAAAGACAACCAAAAACTCTTAAGTGATGAAAACTAGGTTCCTTTTTTAAAAACAAGTTCATAGGGAGATAAACCTTTTAAAACAGAGGTAGGCATTCTATTTATTAAAAACAAAGAAGTTAACACAACATCTCCCCAATACTTAATAGGAATTCCTGACTGAAAAATAAGAGATCGTGCCACATTAAGAATGTGTCTGTGCTTTCTTTCCACAACTCCATTTTGTTGTGGAGTATAAGCACATGACGTTTGATGAATGACACCATGTTCAATACAAAAAAACTTCATTTGATTATTCACAAATTCAGTGTCATTATCTGAACGTACAGTCTTAATATTAACACCAAACTGATTAAGTAAAATATTCACAAAAGACTTGAAACAATCAAACACTTCACTCTTAGATTTTAAAAGAAAAACCCAAGTTGCCCTAGTATAATTATCCACAATAGTCAAAAAATATTTAAACCCCTCAACTGAAGCAAGTCTATAGGGACCCCACACATCTAAATGAATAAATTAACCTAGTTGTGTTGAAACATGCTGACTATGAGAGAAAGACTCTCTAGTTTGTTTTGCTCTATGGCAAACATCGCAAGGAGGAAGAGAGTCATTTCCAAGTTTCGGCTGATTTTTTAAAACACTTAAAGCCAGATCAGCTGGATGACCAAGTCTACTATGCCAAGTTAGTTTTGAAACATAACATTTAGAGTTAGTTATACTAGCAGAATTACCTGAGGGAACATGATCAAGATAATACAGTCCCCCAGATTCTCTACCATTCTCCAACATCTCCTTTGTTAGTGAATCCTGGATTTTATAATTATGTACAGAAAATATAACTTCACAACCACTATCCTTACATAGTTTATGTACAGACAAGAGATTCACATTAAAGTCTGGAACATCAAATACATCAAATAAAGACACATCACCATAGCAATATTTAAAAGTTTACAACCCCTAGCTTAAACAAAACAAAGTACAAGTTTTCCAAAATGACATTGTTCAAAATATAACTTCATAAAATAACTTTCCACACGATGCAGCATGCGCTCTATGATGATGAATCTCTATATCCACTTACTAATTATTTCTGAAAAAGCATGTAAAACGAGCATCCAACTATGAAAATAGTTGGTGAGTTCACAGGTTTATAAAATCAAGATTTGGTATAAGACTTTTCAT